GTGTGTGTGTGTGTATAATAAACGTATATTTTTCCCTAGAAAGGGGGAAAAAACAATGGGTGAAAACCCATTGTTCTAGGGCTTCTCCTTTCTTGGAGGTGAGGCAGAAAGTATAGATGCACCCTCTGCCCCTACCTTCTATAAACCTCCTTTCTACTGTTAAAATAGAGCTGGTGCAGGGATTAGGAACACGGTATGTGTTGGGGGCAGTGAGTAAAACAAACAACACACAGGCTGGGCGCTGCACCCAGGTTTCATTGGCTTGGCATGACTTCAAGTTTTTATTTTCATGGGGATCTCAGATTGGGGCTGTAATTCCCAACTCTGGGTCTTTCCTCAGTCTTCCTCAAGCCCTGGCAGGGGTGCAGAGGGCAGTGGCACAGAAAAATATTCTGCCAGGGTCAAGGAGATTCGGCCGAAAACATTCTCCATAGGAAGGAGAGGTTGTTGCTCCTCTATTGGGCCAGCTGGAGTGTGGCCTGGGAGGTCACAGCAGTGATCCTTGCTCCCTTTCAGTAGCTCCCGCCCCAGACCCCAGAGCTGGGGTGGAGAGGAAGGCCGGGGGCATTTGAACCTTGATGCACATCAGTTCAGCAATATCATAGCGGTAGGGAATTGAGGGGGGATAGGAACATAATAATAGAATCTGGCAGTGGAGGGGGACAAGCTGGGAAAAGATGCAGACTCCAGCCCTTCCTTAACAGAAGTTGGCACTCAGCAAAACACTGTCTTTCTGCTGAGTCCTATTTCACAACACATCTGCATTTCTACTAACTTAATGGGGTATGCTGAGACAAGACCCCCGGAACTGATAAATGGGCATTTACTATACTTTTCTCAGCCCTAACTAGGTTCTTTTTCCCATCCAGCCTCTCAGATCCCCTTCTTATTACTCCAGTGCCTCCTTCAACATCTCCATTTCCCCCACCCTCCTAAGCCCCTCTTCTTCCAACTCTGTGTCTCCCCTGAACTGGACAGCTGAGAGCAGAGCATAGATAGGGGAGGGAGACAAGTCTCCCAGGATCAAGGGTCACTCTTGCAGACACAGACACAGCAGTCAACAGAGTGGGCTCCAGCCCCTCTGGCCATAGAGCTGGAACTTACCGGCTGCAGAGGTGGTGGTCAGCTCTCCTGGGGGTCCAGCAGCTTTGGAGGACTGAGCTGCTGTGACCGGAGAACCCGAGCTGGGCAGGCGTGGGGGCAGCACTGGCAGTGGGGGAGGGAGGGTAGTTATTAATAGAGATGATGAGTACAAGCAGCTCAAATGGCACTGGGGGTACTGAGACCCTGGAACCAAGATCCCGCCCTCCTTGCCCAGAGGCTCAGGAAGGAGAGGAAAAGCCTTTGGGATTCTCCCACTAAGCTGTCTGAGCCAGGGATCAGTCTGCCCAGAGACTCCCCTTTCTTGGCATCTAGAGTCTGAGATCCAAAGAAGCATTCAGGGAAAAATTGAAAACTGTGAGGGAAAGAGGAAGCAAACAGAAAACGGTGGACAAGAATTTGGAGAGCAAGAATTTGGAGAACATGTCTGGAGAGTCACTCAGAACCAATCCAGGCTGGAGCTGGAGGGACTATATGGGTACATTTTGGGAGTGGGAGGGCTTAAGGGGCTATGTTTGGGGAAAGGAAATCTGTTCACAATGTTTTAAAAGTTCCTCGATGAGTTGATCTTTTCTCTGGGAAAGCTAGATCTTGGCAGGACAAGGGACCAAATTAACCAAACCCAGTGCTTCCTATGCTGTCAGAGATGAGGTGGGGAAGACTTGACCAATTTCTCCCTTTTCGTCCCCATTTGCTGTTGGGGTGCTCAGTTCAGCCTGTTTTGCAGGATAAATGTTGGTGTCTGAGATGTACAGGTAGGCTTCTAACCTGCCAGGTCCTTCCTCTCTAGGGTTTCCACTTGGGATTTTCCTCAAAAGGAGCACACACCCAATAGGATCTAGATTGTCCCATGCATACTGTTTCAGAGGAGCCCTTGGGCAAGGGTATAAGTTTGAGAGCTTCCTTAAAAGAATCCTGTCATTTGCCCAGTCCCTTCCTCAGTAGCTACATGAACATCCTACATCCTCTTCCACCTCCTGCTCAGATTCTGGAACCAGCTGCTGCTGCACGCTGCACCTCTGTTGCAGCCACCACCATCCTATTGTGGCTGCTTTAGTAAGTGACTTTGCAGCTTCTGGAATGCCCTTCTGTCACTCTGTGAGCTCTCCACTCTTCCTGATCTTGTCTTTTCCTGTCCTGAACTTTTCAGGCTCAGCCTAGGGGCTGAAAGATCATCCTACTCCCCTCTAGTTGGCCTCTGCCCAGACCAGTTTAACATCCAGATCTCTCTCATCTTTTGTCCTCCTTCTCCATGCCTTCTCAACCCAAAGAAGCAATTAGAAGAAAAAACATGAACAGCAAACTTGTGATTTTGTTATCACCACCATCCTACTCTCAAAAACAAACAAACAACAACAACAAAAAAAACCCCAAAATTTTTGTCTGCTATGATTGAGTACCTAGAACTACCAGGTGGATGAAGACAAAATTCAACCTATGCTCACTGGGCCCTTCCTTTGGAATTCTAAGACTGTACTTGGGAGCATCAGGGTCCTGGGCCTGGTTATTTGCACAAATATGCCCCCTGCTGGAGTAATGGCACTTACCTTCTCAGAAGTCCTTAATTTCTAGCCTACCTCTAGTGCCTTCTCTTATATATGAAACTCAATCCACACTGATCCACCCTCTCTTCTTCCTTCTCCCATCCCATCTTCACCTCCAGGCATTGCTTTCCCATGGAAATATCATCGTTTCCTCCAGAGAGGTAGGGCATGATGGCAAAAGCTCGGAGGGACTTTCCACTCCTCTTGGTTCTGAAATTGTGGCCTTGATTGGGAAGTATGGAGCAGGAGATGGAAAAGGGGAGTATCTGGATGGAGAATGCAGGCAGTGAGAACCAAGGGGAATGGTGGAGGTGGCTAAATTAGAGTGGGACAGAACTGGTTAAAGAAGAGCAAAAGACTAGGGGGTGAAGGGTAAAGGATGAAAAATAGGGCAGGAATGGAGAAAGAGATCAGGAATCAGGAGATCAGGGTTAGAAAGGATGGAAGAAAATTAGGATTTAGGAATAAAACTAGAAGAGATGACAGCAACAGAAGATTTGGAGCTTAAGTTTATTCTTGTGCACAAACCAAAGTACTGTGACTCACACCCAATATGCAAAGGAAGCGATAAATCCAGATCAAGCAGCAAACGTGATTGACTGGTGGTGGTCATGGTGAAAAGGGAGTCCATACCCATCTAGGATCAGAGATCAGGACCAGAAGCTGGAAAGGAACAAAAGCTAGGGTTCGGGGGATGGGGTAGGACTGAAAAGAGGTTTTGGCTCTGGGTATTTCCTTGCCCTTTCCCAGGTCATCATGACAAGTTGCAGAAGGCAGAAGGCCAGACTCAAAGGAAGTAGCACAGACACCACGTATTCCTCCAACACTCAGTACACACTCTCACATCCCCCTACCATCATCCATCTTCACTCTGACAAATGCATTCTTCTCTCTCAAATTTTTCCCCAATCCCCCTCTTGTACACAGTGAGTTTCTTGAAACCCACCTCTACTGTCTCTCTTTCCCTCCCCATGCTCCTCTCTGTGGCTCAATTAATTTCATTCATTCTGCTCTGCTCCTGGTTTCTATGTCACTTCTCACACCATGGCACTTTTCTCCCTCTTTTCTGTCTTAGGTGCGTGAGGCAATGAAGCCAATGATTTTTTTTCATTCTCAGAAGAAATTCTTTGTCTTTCTTTTCCACTTCCTGGATCCTTATAGCTTAGCATGGGTCTCTTAAGTTGCTCTTAAATCCTGGTGAATAGAATTCGGTTTTTTTTTCAAGTTTTTTATTTATTTAAGTAATCTCTACACCCAATGTGGGGCTCAAACTCATGACTCTGAGATCAAGAGTTGCTTGCTACTCCAACTGAGCCAGCCAGGCACCCCCTGATGAATAGAATTCTTAATTCTATTCCTGGTCTAGCTGGTATAACTCAGCCCTTACAAACTGCTCTGGCCCTTCAAGTCTTCTCATAATCTGTGAGTTTCACAAGATGCTGTACCCCCGCTACAGACACTGATCTTTGAGTCCAGTCCATCTTTCTCCCCACTATCTGGCTATCTGACCATTCTTTCATCAATACAGGGGGAAGACCCAGATTTGGTCTTTATTTAGACCTCTCCTCTTACTCTTGCCTCAGACATAAGAACACATCTGTGCTCACACACATTTGCACATACACAAATGTACACATACATGCCTAGATATATGCCAGCCAAGCTTGGAAAATGAGAGGGAGGAGTAGAGAGCGATTTAGTGCAGGGATCAATTTAGTCCTTTTGAAGCCTGCCTGATGGTAAGCTTGCTTGAGGTCTCACTGGTAACTTCTCTGTGTGCTTCTCATTGAATGTTAAAATGAGGCTCACAGAGAAAAGCACAAATGTAGAGAAAGAGAGACCAGTGGAGGAGTGTGGGTCGAGAGACTGAGATAAAGACAAAGACCCACAAAAGGAGCTACAGAGACAAAGGGAAGCACAGATAACAAAGCAGAGATAGTAGGTTGGAAAGCAGCAGGGAGGTTGGGAGCCAGGAGGATGGGACACCAACTCCAAAACTATCTCTGGCAGGAGGGAATTTAGCCTCCGGATGCCTGAGAGAGGGCATGGGATAGGTTGGAGAAGCAACTTTATGAACAGGATGTTCCACCTCTCCTTGGTCCTGGGAGCTGTACCCCACTCAGTGGTGGCCTGCCCCTGGCCTCCACACATGAGCCTGCAATCCAGTTCTGGTGGCTGAGAACCGAGGCCTGGCTACCTGGAAGCCACAGGAGCTAGGGGAAGTTCCAAGACCCCTGGGAGACTCTGGAGGAGGGCCTGGGCTAAGAACAGGGGCTGAGGCCAGCTCTGACCTCCAGATGGGCTCATCCAATGTAGTGGCTGCTCGTGGGGCAAGAACAGTGGGGGCCAGGAGTTCTGCAGTGGGCTGGGGTGCTGGAGTGGAAAATCGGCGGATCTCCTGGACTCGGGCAGTTTTGGGGGGCCCTGAAGAGGTGGGGCCAGGAGTCTGGGGAACCTCATCAAAACAGAACATGGCAGTTTTAAGTTGGTAGGGCTGGTGCCGCATGAAATCCAGAGCCTTGATACCCTGCTTAGGGGTTGCCCGAGGACCCTGGGATTGGGCCTTATTAGGGAGAGTTCGAGCACCCTGGGGGAAAAAGGGTGATAGCAGTGGGTTGTAAGCAATAGGAGGTGGGGCACGGATGTTGGGTGAATATTTCCAGGAAGAGGGCAGTGATGGTGTAGGGGAGGGGCTTCTGGGCCTAGGGCCAGGGCCAAAGCCAGGACTAGGTGTAGCTTCTACCACATACCTCTCTGCTCGGCTCTGCCGCTTGGCAAACAGCTCCCCACCCCTGCCCTGAAGCCTTGCTGGTTCAGGGATTCCAGCCGAATGGGCTGACCCATTCACTAGCCCATCAAGGAACCCACGAGAAGGGGGCTTAGGAGCCACTGGGGGTGGAGTCTTAGGAGTCATTGGGGGCGGTGTCTTGGGAGCCATTGGAGGAGCGGTTTTAGGCGTCACGTGAGACAGAGCCTTGTAACTCCTGCCCCCTGGTGGCTGCATGAAATTGCAGGCTTCAGCTCCAAGGCTCAGAGCATCTTCCTCTGGACCAGATTCCGCTCCCCCGGCTCGGGGTTTTTCATCCAGGTTCTGCACCAACGACAAGAGCTCGGGGTTGGGCGAGTTCTTCGTCTCCTCGTTTCCCGACCGGAACATCTGCTTCCGGGTACCCCGTCGCCGGGCCTCCTGGAGGATGCCAGTGCGGGCAGCTGGCACGGAAATGCGCTGCTCCCGAGCGCTAGGTGGCTCAGGCGCCCCGGGGCCTGGGGCGGGAGCCTCTGGACGCGCAGCTGGTCTCAGAGGTCCCGATAGGAAGATAGAAGCGGTGGAGGTCATGGCAGCGGCACTAGGGGGAGCGGGGGACTCCGAGGCTCCGCCTGGCGTTAAGGGACGGTTGGGGGCTGGGATGTACAGGGAACTTGTAGCTGTCACGGGGCCTGAGGTGCGTGGAGTGCTGGGGGAACCGGAGGCCGGCACGTGGCTGGGCAGAGGCGTGGGCCCCTGAGAGGACAGGAAGGGCGGTGCGACGGGGCTGAGACCTCCCAGGCTTTCATTCGCCCTCTTGGGGGCTAGGGGTCGAAAAATAACCGAGGTGGTACTTGGCCGCTGCCCTTGTAAGCCTGGAGTAAAAGGCCTAGCTGACCGGTTAAAGATGTTTGGAGCCGGGGTTGGAGCTCCACTGCCTGGGAAGAAGGGGGTGGGGCTGACTACAGGGGCTGGGGAAGGACTAGATGCGAGTATAGTTGCTTCCGGAGGAGCACTCTGGGCCCGAGGTGGTGATTGCAGGCACTGCCCATTGAGCACGGCTGCTGGACCATCCCGTGCCAGCTCCTGGGTGCTGGAAGCTGTGCGCTGGCGCTGCTGTTCAAAGAGCTGGACCCCTCTGCCGGAGGCCTCACTCAGCTGCCCTCCCAGCCCCCGGCCCTGGCCCTCTCCTGCAGCTGAGCCTGGCCTGGCCAGCTCCATGTCCAGATAGGGGCTGTCCCAGTCGCACTGGTTGGTGAGGCTGCGGGCGTCGGAGAAGGCCTCTTCGTCCAGCTCCGACTCGCTGGTTGGAGGAACCCCGTCTTCTTCCTCAGCACCTGTCCCAGCTGCAGCCCCAAAGCTCACTAGGGTGTACTTCTTGGCTCTCTGCCGTCGTTTCTTAAACATAAGCACCCCCTTGGAGTGGGGGTTGGGGGCTGCAGTTAGAAGGGATGCGATCGTGCGGCATTTGGTCTTAGCCTCCTTCACACTCTTCTCTTGGAGGCTCTCTGCCCGTTGCAGTTCTGAGGAAGCCAGGAGGGAAAATGGTCAGTGAACGTCTTCTAGTCCTATTCCCCACACCCCAGCCAGTTTCCTCAGCCCTCCCACCTACTCTCTTTTCACTGGCCTGATCTACAATGTCTTTTGCCTGTGGCAAAGTCCTCTGACTTGGGGCAGAGTGGTAGGTGAAAGGTGAAACCAAGGACAGTTGAAGGGAAGGCAGATTCTGGTTGGCTGTCCTCACACCGCTCTGACCACATCTCTCCTTCTATCCTCTCTCCTCTCTATTCTGCTTCTATTTTCCTGGAGATGAGCTCTTACCCACCCCCCACACATTCTTCCCCTGCCTCCCACCGTTCCTGGCTGGCAATGGAGGTGAGGGACAGTCACTTCCCATGGCAGCCAGGGAGATGAGGCAGGTCCCAGAAAGAGACAAAATGAGAAGGGACACTTTCCTTCTACTACAGAGACCATGTTAGGGGGCTTCTCAGAAACTTAGGGACTTATCTCCTCTTCTTACCCCTACCCCTATGGTAGGGACACAAAGGACCCTTAGGAACAAGGATCTTCATTCACATTTCCACCTCCATTATGTAGTCCACATCATACACATTCATAGAAATAACCACCACACATTTCAGCAAGCATGTGGGTCTAGTGAAGGCCAGCTATGGGCATATTTTCTCATATGTACTCTTCTCTCTCATTCGTATATACCCCAGTTTATGTATACCCTAGTTCACATAAACATATGTAAATACACATGAACCCACACAAAAGCACAGTCACTCAAATACATTCACACGCATGCATATTCCTTCTTCACAGAGCTCCCCCTGCAGAGACCCTGTTACTAGTAGTTTGGACATAATTTTAGAGCTGATATTGGCCTTCCAACCACCAGGGCACTATTCTGTGCCTCACACCCCTGATACTCACAGCCAGGGATAGCCTCACATCTGAGATGCAGGAAAAGCCAGAGTGCTGCTCACCAAGGCAACCCTCCAAATCTTTAGGATACCTCGAGGTCATCAGCTAAATATATCCTCCCCCTACCACCACCACCCAACTGTGGTGGGAGTGGGGTGGGCTTCTTTGGGGGTCAGCCTTGTAGGTAGAGAGCTCAGGCAGTCACTAAGAGGCAGGCACACAAGGACTATGTACTAAGGGCAACCTGGGCAGGGCTTCCTATGCCATGTGGGGCCCAGGAGGTGGGGCCAGGAAATGGGAGAGGATGCCCTGCTGCTACGACCCTGCCTTGGACACAGATACACTCTGATCCATGATCCCCAGTTCCTCCTGAAAAATTCTTGAAATTCCATCCGCTTTCTACTCAAGATACCAAGCTCCTTTCTAATTAGGGCTTTCATTCCACCCATCCCAACGTTTATACCACAGAATAGCACTGTGCATGAGAGATAGGCACTGGAACCAGAGTTCAGTTCAGGTTTTTGGTTCTTGGGAGAGTTACTTCATTTCACTGAAGTTCAGTTTCCTCATCTGTAAATGAGCATGATAATGGCTATCTCATAGGATTGCTATGAGGAATAAGTGAGATAGTGTAGGTAAATTTAGCATTTAATGGCAGCCCTAAGGCCCACTGTGAGTAACCATTACTATTAAAGCCTTCTTGACACCAGCTACACATGTATACAGACACTTTCGTGGTCACACATATATCCTCCCATGGACTCCCATATACATGCCTTCATGTATTTATAGATTACTCATACTTCTTTCTTTCACACACATTCCCTCCCCATGAGTTTTCTAAAGCTCATGTGGTCACAAACCCCTTTGACATGTAGCCATAGCATCAGCCCATTCTGAGAAAGGGGCAGTGAAACTCTCCTGAGAAGAGAAGAAAGAAGTCAAAAAGGAGGAAGGAATAAGGAATAAGACCTTTCCCAAAGACACCCCTTCCTAAGCTGTTGATGTATTCCCTTCCAGTCTAGATCCCAGAACTCTCTTGGCTATGGGAGGGTAGTACCTGCGTAGAATGGGTCCTGGAGCTCAGGAGTTGGGTCTGGGGCTTTGTTGTAGCTGGCTTGGCTGAAGGGCTCTTGGCTGATGGGCTCAAAGTTCTCCATGCTGAGAAATGCAGTGTTGGCTGGAGCAGGACCAGCTTGAGCCACCCCCCACGCCTTTTAAAGCCCCTTTGTCTTGTCCCTAGAGCTGGCAGCTGAATGAGCTCACTGTGCTATTTTTTGAGCCTGGCCCCCTCCCTCCCTTCTCTCTGCTGCCCCACAAGCCCTGGTGTGATGGACATGGACACCTGCCTACCCTTCCCCCAACCCCACCCCACTGGACAATGAGGTCTGCTTGGCTAAAAATATCTTGAGTCACTAACTGCAGTCTAACCCAGCATAATAGGAAGGGAGGGGTGCTAAAATGAGAATTGGGGATAAGCATGGGATCCTGGGCATGCATCTGGAATTTCTTTGTGGGATATTGGACATTCTCAGGGATGTCAGTCTCTATTTTATCAATGTCCTTAGCCTCTGTCCCAGACTTAGGCACACAAAGTTCTATGGACCAGGAATCAGAACGGTAGAGGGAAGAAATGAGAGATGAGAACTAGAGGGGTAATCCTAGATTTTCAAGGTGACAACAAAGGTCTCTGGGGTAGAGGCACGGGACAGGGAAAAAGCTCACCCTTAGACCTTGTTCTGTAGCTCACATCAAAAATAGCAAAGAGCTTGAGATAAGTGGAACAGGCTTTTTCTGCCCAGGCCCACATTCTTGCCTGAGATAAGGAGTCGAAGATCCCTCCCTCTGCCACTTCCTAGGGATCTCATGACTATCCCATAGTCTCCCAGTCCCAGGAATCCTAACTGAATTTACAAATGTCAAAGGTGGCTCTGATGTTATGCCTGGAGTTAACACTGAAAAGCTCCTGCCCTGCTTCCAGATACTCCCCTGCATCATGTCTTCACTCTGCCCTCACCCTGTCTGTCTGACACTTAGCAAAATCATAGCAACAACAACAAGCAAACCCTTTGTTGATTTCATGTCCCTTTCCAGCTTCCCTACTTTGTTCCTGGGTTGGGTTGAACCACCTGCACCTTTTGTGGCACTGGTTCCAACAGTAAAAATAATGGGGACTGTGAGAATAATTATTTTTCCCTCCTACTCATCACTCTTCTCCACTTGTCCCCAAGCCTATATCCAAAAGAAACATAAAGCATGGTTACGGAGGGGTAGATTTAGGGTTCAGATTGAAGGATTCTGGCTAGGGAAAAAGGGTTCAGGCACTCACTGGCTTGCTTGGCCTTCTGGGTGTAGGTGGTAGTGAGGTCTTCTGCCACTGGGTGGGGAACAGGCCCCACCATAGGGATAAGATGAGGGCCAGGCCTGAGGGGGCCGTGGGGCAACAGCAGGGCCTCAGCTGGGGATGGCTGAAGGGCTGCCCCATCCTCCCAAGATGGGGAGCTCACACGGCTGTCACCATGACTGGGAGGGCCAGCTACGGCAAGCGCTGGCTCTGCAGGGCTGTCAGATAGGTAGACCTCATCAGGTAGGGCTCCTGGAGGGGAGGGCCTTGTGGGGCCTCTGCGGCGGGGTCGGCGGGGTTTCTCCTGGGTGGCAGGTCCATCAGCATCACTGTCTGTCTCTCCGTAGTAAGCCTCACTGTCAGGGGGTGAGAGGAGGCTCCCAGGTTGAAGAGGCTGGGGAACTGGAGCGCCAGGAGGCTCAGGACTCAGTGGAGATAAGGGTGACAACACTTGAAGCTCACCAGGGGATGGAGACCGCACAGGCCCCTCATCCTCTACCCTGGATGGAAAGAGGACAGTACTTAAGAAGTGGGCTGGATGACTGACAGCTAGCGAGATCTAGAGGGGATGGGAGAAGGAAGGAAAGGAGAAGAGAGGTGACTGGCCTATAGGTTGAACGAGGGGGCTGGGAAGAGTGGGGATATGAAGACAAACTGGGAGGCATATGTGCTTGAAGGGCTGTAAGTGGACAGGGGCTTAGAGGGAGACGTGATGGCAAGGAGACAGGCAAGGGGTTGAAGTAGGCCTACACACTCAAATACCTGCTCGACACCCCCATCCCTTAATTGCAGATACACTGAAGCCCTCTGGGAGGCATATACAAACATTTATACTCCAGCCCAGACTTACAAGAAGTGGGTACTTAATAGTAGCTGAAGCCAGGGCAGTGAGACACAGAGCTGGGATAGACATTGGAAACCCTGGACTAGGGGGATGAGGGTGGGCTGAGGTGAGAGGGTTCCATACCGCCGCACAGTGAGGACAAGCTGATTCCCTGAGGCATCAATGAGGCTCATGGCACTGGCATGAGAGAGGCTGGTACAGGAGACCCCATTGATGGCCAAAAGCTGGTCCCTCTCTCGGAGTCCCGCTCTGCCAGCCTGGCTCCGTCTTCGGATCTGAGAAGGTGTTGGGAGGAGAGATAGCAGATGAGGGAGGGCTCCAAGTGGGAATAGAATGAAAGGAATCAGGATAGGAAGGACCTATGTGTGGAGGGGATATATTTTGCAGGGTAGGAAATGGGAGGGGTATGGAGCTACAGTTGAGGGAGCCTATCAAGAGGGAAGAAGGTGCAGACTGGAGGGAGTAATACATCATATTACTCCATCAAAGAGGCTGGGGGCAAACTACAGAGGGGAGGTACTGGGAATGGCAGTTGTATCACCTAAAGATTTCCCTCCAAGGGCAATATCTTTACTAGCCAGTAGTTCTCTTCTAGGCCTTGGAATCTCAGGGGCCATTACCTACACGGTCAAGATTTTAGAACAGTGTTCCAGATTGGAGGGAGTCCAGCAGATTCTGGGAGATTGTGGTTGTGTATATGTGTGCCATGGGTGCACACACATGTACATATGTGAAAGTAATAATACTAGTAATAATGGCTATCATTTATTGAGTGCTTACTAAATGTTAGGTATGGTGCCAAGCACTCCACATGTGTTATTGCATTTAATCCTTAGAATGAAGTAGGTACCGTTATTACCCACATTTTATAGTTGAGAAAACTAAGCCTGTGAGGTGAAACCAAACAGATAACAGCTTCATCTGACAGGCCAGATCATGCCATAATCCTCCTAGCACCTAAAAAGTCTTGCATAGGGAGAGAAAGGGTCTGGTGAAGGGAAAGAGGGGCAGTGAGGGCCTGGGCAGGGCAGGGTAGGGCAGGGCAGGGCAGGGTAGGGTAGGGCTGGGTAAGACAGCCTCAGCTCGTCACATATCAATTTAAAGAAAAATTAGAACCTTCCCTATATTCCTGGAATTTGGAGTAGAGGCACAGACTCAGGAGAGCAAAGACTGGATGGTCAGAACAGGACCTCTGCTACTATGGTGCCTCAGGAACTTTCTTTTTTTCTGCTCCCAGAAACCAGGAATTCTTTTCTAGTAGCCCCCTACAAGAAGCTTGTGCTCAGACACTACTCCTCCCACCAGATGAGCATGCTTCCCTGCCCACCTGCCCACCTGCCCACCCCCACTCCTCTTCTTCACAGCCTCCCACTTCTCCCCTAAAGGCCACCACATGACTCTTCCCACATTCCCCTGGGTTCCCCTTTCCCTGAAACCTCAATAATAGGGGCTCTCCCTTACCTTGGACACCTGTAAAGGTTTCCTCTGCTCGGCCCCCCCCTGAAGTCGGAAGCCCCAGGGGGCTCCCCCTGACAATGTGACCAGCACCTCCTCCTCAGCACCCATCGCTCAGCTTGGCCTATGGCCCTCGGAGTTTGGACAGTGTCCCAGGGAGAGAAGTCGAGGCGCTGGTACCCCGTCCGGCCTGTCTGTATGGCTGTCCTGCTCCTGCTGCCCCAGGCCTTCCCCCCCACACCACACACCACAGGCAGGCAACTTGGCCCTGGGATCAGTACAGTCCAGCACACGTGTCCTGTCAATCGGAGCTGTGCTCAAAATAGTTGCCGGCTGTACTCCCGTCCCTCCCCCAGCTGTATTACTCCCAAAGCTAATTATAGTCAAAACTTATGCCTTCACCTTTCCCCAGTTCTCCTGCATGAGCCTTTTACTCAGGACTCAGAGTACTAGCTCTAACTAATATATACACTTTCAGGGACTGTGCCTTCCCTAATAGGATCACGGACTAATCCCAACTGCTTTCCTCCAAAGCTCATTTTCAAGTGGCAGCAGCAGCGTGGGCTTCAGTTCCATGGCGAGAAATGGCTGGGCTTGTTCCACAATTTCACAGGATCCCCAGAAGAGCGCCTCCTTCATCTTGCTGTGTGAATTTACCTGTTAATCAAAATGGAGATCCATATCCCGTTGCAGTGCTGAGGGCAATGTAGCTTTTTAAAACTAAAACTACTGGTTTCCTAAAATAACAGGCAGCATATAGGATTAGATGATTGTATAATGAAATAATCTATTAACATATATATATATATATATAATGATTCCCAGGCCTCAGCTTTAGGAATTCAGATTTTATTGGTCTGGTACCTAGTATTGTCATTTTATGTTTTTCCCCACTTTCAGCAACGGTTGCAATTGTCCATTTTGTAATTCCCTGTTCATTTAGCCCCTGAATTTTCGGGACTTGCCAAAACTTAGAAGTAACTGTCTTGTCTAGTGTAAGCCAAAATACACTTAAAAAATTTTTTTAATGTTTATTTTTGACAGAGAGAGAGAGAAAGAGAGAGAGACAGAGCATGAGTGGGGGAGGGGCAGAGAGAGGGAGACAGAATCCGAAGCAGGTTCCAGGATCTGAGCTGTCAGCACAGAGTCTGATGTGGGGCTTGAACCTACCGACCATGAGATCATGACCTGAGCAAAGTCAGACGCTCAACCGACAGAGCCACCCAGGCACCCCTAAATATACTGTTTAAATAAACAATCAGGCAAGAATGTTTAGACAGCAAGAATTTTACAGAACAAAATACAATGCTTATGCCATACCTTTATTTTATGTAAACCAGTACTACAAAACACTAAGATGGTCTAATAACGGGTTCTGAATGCTCTATGTCTATGCTTTTCCATTTCTTTTCTTTTCTTTCTTTTCTTTTCTTCCCTCTCTCCTTCCCTCTCTTTCTTTCTTCTTTTTTTCCTTTGGTGTAGCCAAGCAGATCCAGACTCTGACTAATGTCTGGGAGGCAGACACAGAGGCTTTGCCAACCTTCCTACTCCAGGCTCATGCTTCCGGGGTATCTGGTTCTTTATATAATCCCTCTTGGGGAGGAACGATTGGTAGTGTAATACTGAGTCATAACTCCAATGCCTCACTCAGGGCAGGCTCTCTATTCTTTCATAGCAATGTTAAACAGGCATACTTTGGGAACACAATTAAAAAATTTTTTTGAATGTTTATTTATTTTTGAGAGAGAGAGACAGAGTGTGAGCGGGGGAGGGTCAGAGGGAGACGGAGATAACAGAATCCAAAGCAGGCTCCAAGCTCCGAGCTGTCAGCACAGAACCTGACACAGGGACGTAAGTCACAAAGCACAATATCACGACCTAACCCGAAGTCGGCTGCCCAACTGACTGAGCCACTCAGGTACCCCTGGGGACACATTTTTTTTTTTTTACAGCATCTTTGCAAGGATACATGTTCCATTTTTGCAATATTATTAAATATATCTTGGGACTGAAAGAATCTTATTGGCATTTTTATGGGTATTGTGAACTTTACAGATTAACATAGGGAGAATTGACATATTTTTGATGGTAGGTTTTGCTACCCACTGGAATATTAGTTCCTAACTGGCAAGGATTTCTCTGTTGTGTTCAGTTTTGTATCTCCAAAACCTGGAACAATGCCTGGCATATAGTAAGTGCTTGGTTTTTATTGAATGAATGAATGGAATGCCTTTAGACTTGTTTTGATCTTATATTCCTCAGAAGTGTTTTAAAGTTTCTTTGTATAAATTCTACACATTTTTCTCTCTTTTAAAAAATGTTTAATTTATTTTTTTGGTTTATTTTTATTCTAGTATAGTTAGCATACAGTTTTATAATAATTTCAGGTGTACAATATAGTGATTCAGCAATTCTATACATTACTCAGTGCTCATCATTTCATGTATTTCACCTATTCCTCCACCCACCTCCCTTCTGACAACAATCATTTTGTTCTCTATATTTATTTTTGAGAGAGGGAGAGACAGAGCACGAGCAGGGGAGGGGGCAGAGAGCGAGGGGGAGACACAGAATCCGAAGCAGGCTCCAGGCTCTGAGCTGTCAGCACAGAGCCCGACGCGGGGCTGAACTCACGAACCATGAGATCATGACCTGAGCCGAAGTCCGACGACGCTCAACCGACTGAGCCATCCAGGCGCCCCCAGTTTGTTCTCTATATTTAAGAGTCTGTGTTCTTGTTTGACTTTTTGTTCTGTTCATTTGCTTCTTTTTTTTTAAAGTTTTTATTTATTTATTTTGAAAAGAGCAGGGGAAGAGCAGAGAGAGTGAGGAAGACAATCCCAAGCAGGCTCTGTGCTATTAGTGCTGAGCCCATTGTGTGGCTCAGTCTCACAAACTGTGAGAGCATGACCTGAGCTGAAATCAAGAGTTGGACTCTGAACCCACTGAGCCACCCAGACGCCCCTGTTTCGCTTCTTAAATTCCACATATGAGTGAGATCATATGGTATTTGTCCTTCCCTGATTGACTTACTTCATTTAGCATTATACCCTCTAGATCCATCCATGTTGTTGCATCTAGTATTGCCATTTTATTTTTTATTTTACTTTTAATGTTTATTTATTTTTGAGAGAGAGAGCGTGCGAGTAGAGGAGGGGCAGAGAGAGAGGTGGACAGAGGATCCGAAATGGGCTCTGCACTGAGATTAGAGAGCCCAGTGTGGGACCCCAACTCATAAACTGTTGAGATCATGACCTGAGCTGAAGTTGGATGCTCAACCAACTGAGCCACCCGAGTGCCCCTAGTATTGCCATTTTAAAAAGCACCACAGGGGCGCCTGGGTGGCGCAGTCGGTTGAGCGTCCGACTTCAGCCAGGTCACGATCTCGCGGTCCGTGAGTTCGAGCCCCTGTCAGGCTCTGGGCTGATGGCTCGGAGCCTGGAGCCTGTTTCCGATTCTGTGTCTCCCTCTCTCTCTGCCCCTCCCCCGTTCATGCTCTGTCTCTCTCTGTCCCAAAAATAAATAAAAAAAACGTTGAAAAAAAAATTAAAAAAAAAAAGCACCACAGATGATTCTTAATGTGCAGTGCTGGGCAACGTAGAGGAATTCTAATTTCTGCCCATCTCCCCACTTCCTTCATATAGAATTAATCCTTCCTTCCTTTGGCAACATATGTACCTTGTTCATATATTTTTTTAACTGCATTCCTCAGCCAATATTGTAGTTTGTTTATATGCCTGTCTTCCTCATAGACTGAGAAATTTGAAAGGACTATGTGCAACAGTCCGTCAACAGTCCAGAGAGCAATGCCTGATGTGAAGAGTGCTCAATGAATGTTGGCTAAATTAAATAACGTCTTACAGTGCACAGGTGGTCATGGAAAGATGGACAGATAGTGTGCATAAACATGCCAACACATGTTAATAATAAAATCTCTACTTATTTTTAGGTTCCCATCGTATGAATGTACTCTAAGAGATTTTTTTGTTATAAATCACAACATTACGGTGGTGTAACAATAGTTATCAAAGGCTACAGAGTTTCCTGGAATAGCTGTTCTACTCATGTGCTAAATGCGGTTTGCCCTGGTGTATGATGTAGTCATAGAAAACACTGGGATTTAGTGTCTAAAATGGACTTGGAATCTTGTTTCACCATTTATTAGTTGTGTGATCTCAGGCAGATACTTGACCTCATCAGTAAAAAGAGTATCTAAAATATCCTTTCACTCACTATTCAAATACTCACACTTATTGAGTGCTAGCTACAAATCAGCCATTGTGCTATACCAGTGGCTTTCAATTAACCTTAAGTGCACATTAGAATCATCTGGAACAAATTTTTTTTAAAGATTTTATGTTTAATCTCTACACTCAATGTGGGGCTGGAACTTACAATCCCAAGATGAAGACTTGCATGCTTTACCAACTGAGCTAGCCAGGTGCCCCTCACCTGGAAAAAATTTAAAGCTACTGGTTCCCTAAAATAAGACAGTAGGATTAATGATTGTATAGTGAAATGACCTACATTTATTTATTTAATTATTTATTTATGATCTATATATAGTAATTCCCAGGCCTCAGCCTTAGGGATCATGATTTTATTGCTTTGACACCTAGTATTGACATTTTATTTATTTATTAAAAAAATTTTTTTTAACGTTTATTTATTTTTGAGACAGAGAGAGACAGAGCATGAACGGGGGAGGGTCAGAGAGAGAGGGAGACACAGAATCTGAAACAGGCTCCAGGCTCTGAGCAGTCAGCACAGAGCCCGACGCAGGGCTCGAAATCACATACCGCAAGATCGCGACCTGAGCCGAAGTCGGACGCTTAACCGACTGAGCCACCCAGGCGCCCCAGTATTGACATTTTAAAAAGCACCAGATGATTCTAATATGCAGCCAATTGAGAAACAAGAGTGGGGACACAGAAACCAGTATAATGCAACACATCAGCCTCTATCCTCAAGAAACCATGGATTTAGACTTTACCACATACTAGGAGTGCAACCTTTTTTTTTCCCAAGTTTAATTATTTTGAGAGAAAGAGAGAGAGCATGAACAGGGGAGATGCAGAGAGAAAGAGAATGCCAAGTAGGCTCTGCACTGTCAGCACAGAGCCCCATGTGGGGCTCAAACTCACGAATCATGAGATCATGACCTGAGCCAAAATCAAGAGTCAGATGCTTAGCCAACTGAGACACCCTGGTGCCCCTGGGAGTGCAACTTTAAGCAAGACAGAAGATACCTCCTTTCCTATGTTGATATGAGAGTTGGTGTCAGGATAAATTTTGTGAAAACACTTAGTAGAGGGCACAGCCTAAGACAAGGTGCTCAACACATGTTAACAGAATTTGGCAAATGACTAATCTAGATTAGTAAGTCTCAATCTTCAGTGTGCTATGGAGTCATTTGGAGGGCCTATTAAGCCATGGCTCACTGGGTTTTACCTCCAAAATTTGATTCTGTATGTCTAAAGGCGAGTCTGATTTGTGTTTCTAACAGGTTTCCAGGTGATAGTGTTACTGTTGATCTCAGGATCACACTTGGAGAACCACTGACCTCAACTTCTGAGGACAAAAACAAACTTCCTGTTTATTAAAGCATGCTCAATGCCTAATATAGCTTCCAGCACAGACTAGAAGTGCATTTTTTTTTCAATGAATGAACCACTCCCTGCTTCAGAATAGCTGTTATTTACTGTCAACAAGAGAGCAAGAACTTTTGTTCACTATGTAGTCCCAGAACCAAGAACATGGCTTAGTACACAGCAGTGCTCAAAA